GAACTGGACCCATATGCTCCTTTTCTATTGGGGTCACAGGCATCAATTCACTTTTTTGAAGTTTAACTTTATAACCAGATATATTTCCAAAAAATTTCAAGTAAAAGAAGTACCTCAGGAACACTAGACAAGGGATCTGAGATAAAAAGAAGAGTATCATCTGCATATAAGGAAACTTTATGTTCAGTGCCAAACCGATTGATACCTTTAATCTTAGGGTTGTTCCGTAAAGCCACTGCGAGTGGTTCAATCGCGATTGCGAATAAGAGTGGYGAGAGTGGGCACCCCTGYCTCGTRCCACGTTCCGATTCAAAATAGCTGGATAGATTACTGYTAGTGCGTACTGCTGCCATTGGCGAGGTATATATCARCTTCACCCATGAAACAAATTTAGGGCCGAAGCCAAACATCTCCAAGGTCTTAAAAAGATAGTTCCACTCCACCCGGTCAAACGCTTTGATAGTCCAGTACAGTAATTATTATTCTTATTTTTACTTTGATCTATGTTTATTTTTTTATTGTTACCATCTTTAATTCTATTATTTTTAATTGTTACTACCTTTAACTCTATTATTATTGCTACAGCTGATAATGTGACACAGCAATATACTGTTTCTGTGGATTGATGTGTATCAGCTGCTACACCTGAATTTTACCACGCGGGACAATCAATTCTAGTGTGTGTGTGTGTGTGTGTGTGTGTGTGTGTGTGTGTGTGTGTGTTTCACCATTTGGAAATGCCAAAACACTGATGACGAGGAAGAAGGAGATGACCAGAATGAGCCCCACCCAGACATTACTGTCAGGATTCCCATCATCTCTGTAAGGACAATAACAAAAATTATAATTATTATTACTAAAACATGCTCTTAGACAAACTCCACATACTGTAAATAAGTTTAAGTTTTTTTTTTCATCAAAAGTAAACATGCTCCACATGACTTCAAGTGTGAAAGAGCAACATATGTTAGCTAAAKGAGGCTAATAACTTCAAATGACGTCATGAGGCTAAAGTCATCACAGAAAAACAGTGTTTACCAATCAGCTTTTTCCTCTTAAGCTTAAGTTTAAAAACAATACGTGTCAGGATAACTGTCGCTGTAAATATAATTAATACATTCATAAAAAATATCACCAACAAAAGAGTAAAGTTTAGACGAGGTCCTGCCTGAGCATCACCGTTAGCCTAGCTAAGCTAACCCTTAGCGGTCCGTGAACGCCTCACCTCGTGAAGGCGAAGTACATCAAGCTGAGCACGGTGCATGTCAGCAGCGTGATGGTGTGCGGCTTGTAGAAGAACTCGATGGTGATGTCCTCGACCTGCTGCTCGTTAATCATCCGGAAATGCATCCTGTAGTTGACATCATCCTTGCTCAGGGTGTGGGAGCCGCTATACGCCGAGGCCATGGCAGGTAGCAGCAGCTGGAGCTGCTCCTCGACTCAAAGCAGCGGGGAACGATCCAGGACCATTACGAGCAAACGATGGCCAAATTATTAAATATRTGATCTTACATAATGAGCTAGCTGCGAGCGGCGGGCTGAGAGCAGGGAACTGGTTCAGGTCAGGTTGGTTTACGCGTTTTTTT